GGGTCACTGAGCTCAGCAGTCTGGGTGCCTGCCCGCCCGCCTTGGTCCCTGAGGCCACTACCAGGCCCAACACAGTGGCCCCTCAGGGCTCCAAACAGCTACCTCGGGCCACAAGGTGAGCACGGAGCTGAGTGGCCGGGAGCCGGGCCACCTCCTTATGCGTCCCAGGTGTCGGGTTGGATGTGCCCCTTGGCTGGGACGCACGGGGACAGTGTCACCACCCCGCCCCCACTGCAGGCTGCTCTGCCACAGGACCAGCTCGTAAAGCCTCGCAGAGGCTGTGTGCCAGGGCCTGCCCAGCTCTGCAAGGCCAAGTGGAAAATGTGAACGGACCAGAGGACACTAACCCAGCGAGCCCAGGGCCTGGCACGCCGGACGCTGCTCCACGGCTGGGAGCTGTGGGGGCTGCAGGCCGCAGGCCACACACCCCGCCCCGGGGGCCCCTGGGCTGCCACCCCTGAGCTGGGACAGGAGCAGAGCCAGGCACAGGTCTTGGCTCTGATGGAGGCTGTCAGCCTGCGAGTCAGACCCTTGCAAATGCCACATCCACAGAAATTCCGGGCAGCAGGCACCGGCAGGGAGGCACCCTCCCTGAAATTGTCCACATCCTCCCAGGCCAGACCGACGCCTTCATTTGTTGCAGCCGAGAGCTGCCCAGAGCACTGGTCTCAGCCTGGAGCAGGGTGAGGAGCCGGCCCTGGGGGCGTGGCCCTGCGTCTGCCCAGTGACCCTGGTGGCCGGTGAGGGAGGCCCCACCCATGACTGGGCCTCCACTGGACTCCAGGCTCCAGGGACAGCAAAGGGGAGAGCAAGAGTCGCCTTCCAGTGCTTTCTCTCCGCTGGCCCCTGGGTGGGTGTCTGCCCTTAGGCCAGGAGCTCCCAGGGAGGGTGCCTCGCAGACACACACCTCCGCGGGCCAGTGTGAGGGACCACTGTGCAGGGGAGAGGGGTCCGTGTGGGAGGAGGAGGCTCCCTGTGTGGTTCTGAGGACCCTGCCAAGCTGCCTGTGGATCACAGGCTTTGCTGGGAGGCTCTGCAGGTGCAGGCCCACTGCTCTCCCCCGACCCTGAACTGAACGCTTCTGCCTGAGCTGGGGGCTTATCCCAGCGAGAGGGACGGACAGTAGATTCCAGCCGGGCCCTGTGGGCCTGGTCCCTCCTGCGGGGCTCTGGTTGGGACAGCAGGTACGGCCCACATCTACCATCTGCCGACTGGCCAAGCGGGTGGACAGCGCTGGGCATTTCCTACGAGCTGCTCCGGCTCCTGGCGGCCATGTGTCCTCAGAGCAAGCAGGTTCTCTCCATCACTTGCGCAGCAGCCCAGTTGATACCTGGGAGTGGACTGGGCCCCACCTGCTGTCCCTTCCTGCAGGACGTGGGGGCCCCTGAGTGGGGAAGGCTGTGCACATGGGAAAGACAAGGCTTGAGGTGCAGGAATAACTCTGAGGGTCCAGGCTCAGGAGTCGGGGCAGCAGTTTTCACTGAGGATCTGAGCCGCCTGGCTGTGCCTAGTCGGGAGGGGGAGCTGGTGGGGTGGGGCTGCACAGCCCCGGGACTTGTGTACGTGTGTGTGGGTGCGGGCTGAGTGCAGCTGCCTGTCCCCCCAGCACTGCAGTGGATGCTCTGCGGGCCGTGCTGCTGCGGGGCGGCAGCGAGGACGTGGTGCAGCGTGTGGAGCTGGAGGGGGGCTGGGAGCTGCTGAGCACCTCCGCAGGGCATGAGGATGGGGTGGCCCGGCTGGCCAGGTGAGCACTGTGGGCAGCCCCTGTTGAGGCAATGGCTAGGGGCCCTGGGACCCACAGGGAGGCAGACGTGAGGCCCCCTAGTGGTAGAGCTTCCTGAGTGCTCAGCCTGAGAGCAGGTACCCCTGAGGGCTGCACCCGTGCGGGGTGGGGGTGGGGGAGCATAAAGACAGCTGTGCACATCAGGTTGTGTGGACTGTGCAGGGGCGGGTTGGGGAGAGGAGCCCCCATGGAGCCTGGTGAGGTGGCTAGGAGGGGCATGTCTGAGTGGGAGGGTAGGAAGAGCCTGGCAGGGGGCACAGGTTCATGGGACCGAGGGCTCTGATGTGGAAGAGGCCTCCCCCATTCCAGGGGGGGTTGGCCTAGGATGGGCTCCATGGTGGCCCAGCCCCACCCTTGCATGGCGTGGCCCCTCCCCCAGTGCCATGGCAAAGTGTGCAGGCCCCCGGCTGCCCCTGGTGATGAAGGCGCTGCTGGGAGCACACAGCAGTGTGTATGAGGCCCAGAGGGTCACCTCCACAGCCTTCCTGGCCGAGGTAGGTGCTGCTTGCACTGATGGCTACCAGGGCCCTGTAGGGAGGGCAGCCCCCACAGGCTGGCACTGACCTGGCTTTCCCCAGCCCCCAGGGCCACGCCTGGTGCCACCCCTGCTCAGTGCCAGTAGCACCGACAGTGCTGACGACTTGTCCAGGCCACGCCATGGGGCTGGGTGGGCTGGGGCCAGAAGGTGGGAAGGACAAGGGGAGGCCTTTAGCCTAGCTTGGCCCTTAGCTGACCTTTGCAACATCCACCTCACAGTGGCCTGGGACTCGGCTGCCCAGTGCACTGGGGAGCGTTGGGGAGGGGGCTGTTGGGTGGTTGGTGCAGCCCTGAGGGGTCAGGCCAGGGAGTGAGGCCCTGGGAACAGGTCACGCTCCCCTGCCTCCAGCTGCTCACCAGCAACGTAGTGAATGACCTGATGCTCCTGGAGTCGCTGCTGGACAACCTGGCCGCCCGGCAGAAGGACCCGTGTGCCAGTGTGCGGCGGCTGGTGCTCCGAGGCCTGGCCAACCTCGCCTCCGGCTCCCCCGATAAGGTGAGTTGCCCGCCACACCTGGGGCCGACTGAGGGACGGTGGAGCTGTGGTCCGGGAGACCCAGGCATATGTGGGGGGGTGCGTGGAGGCTGCCTGGTGCGCCCACGGGCGGGGTCTGGTGGTTCTGTGAACCATGTGACCTGGGGACACAGCTGAGTGCAGGGCGTCCCCAGGTGCGGGCCCACGGCCCCCAGCTTCTGACAGCCATGATCAGCGGGCTGGACGACGGGGACGGCCCGCACAGCCTGGTGGCCCTGGAGGCCATGGCAGGCCTGGCCAAGCTGCTGGGCCTGGTGGAGCCCGAGGACCTGCGCGCGGTGCTGCTGCACACGGCCTTCCGCATCCGGCCCTTCTTTGACAGTGTAGGTGGGCGGGGACGGGGCGGACACCCACTCCCAGCCAGGCACCTGCTCCCGGCCCTCCTGCCTCTTGAGCCTCAGCTCCTGCCCCACCTGCTCCCTGGGTCACCCTGGCTCCCTCCCAGAGCGTGGATGTGGCCTGGGAGGCCCAATGCTCTGCTGGCATGGCCCCACTCTGCTCCCGGTGCCCGCCCGTCAGGCCCCTGGCAGGCGGGCAGCACCCACAGCACAAGGACAAGGATGTGGAGGGGAAGGGCCCAGGGCTCGGTGCTGTGGTTGGCAGGGCTGGGAGTGCCCGGGGGTGACACCTATGTCCCCGCAGGAGAAGATGGAGTTCCGCTCTGTGTCCATCCGCCTCTTTGGGCACCTTAACAAGGCCTGCCACGGGGCCTGTGAGGACGTCTTCCTGGAGCAGGTGGTAGGGGGGCTGGTGCCCCTGCTGCTGCATCTGCGGGACCCCCAGGCCTCTGTGGCTGCTGTGAGTGGCCGGCGGGGGAGGGGAGAGCCAGGTGGGGCTGGGACGGGCAGGGCGCTGAGTGCTGCCCCGCAGGCCTGCAGGTTTGCCCTGCGCATGTGCGGCCCCAACCTGGAGTGTGAGGAGCTGGCAGGCGTCTTCCAGAAGCACCTGCAGGATGGCCGTGGCCTGCACTTTGGGGAGTTCCTCAATGCCGCCTGCAAGCACCTGGTGAGGGGGTGGGTGTGGGTGTGGGAGGTGTGAACTGCGTGGGTGTGACCGTGTGGGGTGCGCCTGACTGGCTGGCCGGCCTCTGCAGATGTGCTACTTCCCGGACCTGCTGGGCCGCCTGGTGAGCACCAGCCTGTTCTACTTCAAGAGCAGCTGGGAGGACGTCCGAGCGGCTGCCCCCATGCTCACAGGTGAGTGTCCTCCTCTCTGCCCCTCCCCAGGGCCTGACCCCCCCCTGACCCCAGCCCCTGCCCACAGGGTTCCTGGTGCTGCACGTGGAGCCCCAGCAGCAGTCGCAGGTGGACCTGGAACAGCTCACTGCCGGTGAGCAGCACCCCCCCCCCCAGGTCAGGGCCCAGGGGCCCCCTGCCACCCCCACCTGTCTGGCTGCACAGGGCTCCCACTGACCCTGTGGGCACCAGGGGGGACTAAGTGATTTTCCTGGATTTCAAGGATTTTTTCCCTGTCACTGGTGACCTCATCGTCTCTAGTAATTCACGGAAACTTCTTAACTGTTCCAAAAGAGCTTAAAAAACACTAAAAAAGGAAAAACTATCTTTCCGTTGGCTCCTGAGCCCTCCCAGCAGAGGCCTGTCTTAGGAGGGTGGTAGGCGGGTGGCCCCACGCACCGGGTGGGGAGTGCTCCATGGGGTCCTGCGCCAGGAAGGGGGTGGGACAAGTCCTAGCACTGCCTGAGTGGGGGCCCTGGCTCAGAGTCAGTTCCTGAAGGGCCACGGAGGCGCCCCAATGCAGCTCCTTGTCCCCCAGCCCTGCAGCTCCTACTCAAGGACCCAGCCCCCAAGGTGCGAGTGAAAGCTGCCGAGACTCTGGGCCGCCTGGTGAAGTTCGCCTGAGGCTCCGGCATGCTGCCCCCGACAAGCAGCACCGCCAGGGCTGGCCTGGGCCTCAGAGTGCCTGCCCCGGCCACACGGGACCAAGCAGGGCGGGCAGTCTGTGCGCCCTCCCCTTCCCCAACCCCCCCCCCCCCCCCCCCGCTTCCAATAAAGCTGTTCACTCCTCAGCAGGTGACCAGGGGTGCAATGCGTGGCCTTTCCTTGTGGGACAGGCCAGCTGGACCCCCACTGGGAAGGCTGAGTGCGTGAGGTGTGGGGGTCGCTAGTCAGGAACTCAAATGCAAGGCCACACCACCAGTCGGGGGAGAAACATCTCTATTGAGGGTTCTGAGCCGGTGCCTGGACCCAGCACAGGCCGGGCTTCTAGGAGAAGAGGCGGACGGTGCCATCAGCCCCTGAGGAGAAGACCCACGGCTGGGTGGGGTGGAAAGCAACATCCAGCACGCCCAGGTCTCGGGTCAGCGTGTGCCCCCTCAGCACCTTCACCGGCACCAGCAGCGGGTTCTGCAGCAGGTCGCTGTGGGAGAGGGGAGGGTTCAGACAGGGGCAGTCCCCTGGGGGGCAGTCCCCTGGGGAGACAGTCGTCAGCACTCACTTGTACACCATCCCATGGCAGACAATGACACTGCCGTCGTCGGAGCCGGATGCAAAGAGCGGATACCGGGGGTGGAAGGCCACTGCCCGCAGGGCCTTCTTGTGGTGCCTGGAAAGGGGACCTGATTGAGGGCAGGCCGGGGAAGGGGGTGTGGGGGACGGCCCAGCGGATGACAGCCTCCCGCCCATGCACGCATGCACACGCACACGCACACGCGAGCACAGGGCCTCACCTCAGCACTCGGTAAGGCTTGGTGGAAAGGTCCAGGTCAAACCACACCAGCTTGCTGTCGTAGCTGCCGCAGATGAGGTTGTCACCTGGGAGCAGACATGGTGGTGGGAACCTGGTGCCCGGTTGTGCCACCCAAGGGGTGCGTCCCCCATGCCCCACCCCTCACCTGCAGGGTGCACAGCCATACTGGACACCCACTTGCAGTTGGGCATCAGCTTCTTGGTGAGCTCCTGGCGCAGCAGGTGGTACAAGCGGACGCTGCGCTGGGAGGCCACCAGCAGGAAGGGCCGGACGGGGTGGAAGGCCACGCGCTGTACCTGCCCGTGGCTGCGGCGGAAGGGGCTCTGGCTGCGGCGGCGGCTCAGCTGGTGGATCAGCACTTGGGTGTGGCCCTGGGTGGCCAGCACCACGGCCATGTAGTCCCCACGCCCATGCCAGGTCACCTGGGTCACCGGCTGCAGGAGGTGCGGTTGGCTGAGCAGGCCCTCCTCTGCCCCCCGCAACCCCACACCCCACGCCCCTCACCCTCCCATGCCCCACACCTTGCCGTGGCAGATGCGCAGCCTCAAGCCCCCCTGGCGCTCCTCCTCTGAGGCTTCCAGCCAGCGGGCGGGCTGCAGGGCAGGCTCCTCAGGTGGGGTGAAGGTGCCCAGCAGCTGGTCCGTGCTGCCCACTACCAGCCGGTCCCCCAGGGCTGGGTTCAACAGCAGCACCGCGTCCTCCCTGCAGGCAGAGCCGAGCGCGGCCACTCAGACAGGCAGCCCCTGCTGCCCGCCCCCTTCCCCCACCCAGCCTCGCACTTACACAGCCACGGCCACCAGGCAGATGGTGGGGTTGGGGTTCCACGACACACTCTTCACCACGCCCCCCACGGGCACAGTCCTCATGCAGCGGGCAGTAGCTACCTCCCAGAGCCGCACGGAGCCATCATCTGAGCCTGGACACAGCAGATAGGCCCTCAGCGCCCACCCTCCCAACCAGGCCCCCATGTTGGGGTTCCCCCACTTTAGGCCCACCTGAAGCCAGCCACTGGCCCCCCGGGGAGACACTCAGGCAGCGGACGAGGTCGCTGTGGCCCCTGTAGACCTGCAGAGAAGGGGCAGTGAGGACATGGACAGCTCCCAGGAGTGTGCTCCCCCCGCCCCCTGCTTACCAGGGCCTGGCATGTGGGGAAAGGCTGCAGGTCCCGTGGGCGAGGCAGTTTGGGGATGAGGTCTTCAGGGTCCACATTCACCTGAGGCAGGAAAGCACGCGGTCATCTTGTGCCCGTCCCTCCCCAGAAGCCCCCACCCAAGAATCCCGCCTCCGTGTACCCTCATCTTGCGCTGCCGCGGGCACAGATAGAGATCCAGGCAGCGCTCAAAGCGCTCATGGATGAAGCGGCCGTAGGCGGGCACGGCCCGAAGGCTTGGGAACTTGCGTGGCAGGAAGTTGAGCTTCCGCTCACTGGGCTCCTGCTGCTCCCAGGCCAGGCTCTGTGGACACAGAGAGGGGGGTGAGCTGGGGCCAGGGCCCGGGACACAAACCCCACCTGAGCCAGACCCACCTCCTCCTCGCTGGGCAGGTACTCCGGGGGCGGGTTGTAGGACTCGGCGTGGCCCGGCAGGGCCAGCTTGGGCGCCGGCACATGCATCTTGTGACGTCCCAGCACGGCATTGGGGTCCTCCTGAGCCCACAGGTCATAGAAGCTGGGGGTAGGGTCACGGGGCCGGCGAGGCTGGATCCAGCCCATCTTGATAGCATGCACCATGCGAGACACCTGCAGACAGATGTGGTCAGGGCAGGGCAGGGCAGGGCAGGGCAGTGTGGCCACACCTGGAGGAGGGCACCCACCTTTTCCTTTCTCCACCAGGGACGGGATGAAGCTGCGCTTGTCGGCGGGGCGGTTGGTCACAGGGTGGATCATGAGGTCCCCACTGAAGAAGTCCACGGCCGGCTGGGGAGACGAGCACAGGCTGTGGCCAGGTCCCTGCAGTGCCCCGACCCCAGGGCCAGCCACAGCCACCTACCTCATACGGGTCAAAGCTCGCATCCCCAAACTGGCCCCTCTGCAGCCGCCGTACCAGGGCCACCTGCTCATCTGTCAGCCGCACGTCGTGCCCCGTCATCCGGTCCTGCACTGTGCGCCTGGGGGACCGCCCATCAGAGCCCAGCTCCCAGCCCCCATCCCTCACCCCCCATCCTGCCCCCCAGGCTCACCAGTAATCAGGGTCGTCCATCTTGTCCAGAAACTGGTCCAGCTCATCGCGGGTTCGCACAGGCTTATAGATGCGCCTGCCATCCAGGTCATAGCCCACGTGTGGGAAGTCATCGTACCACTGCAGGGGCACGTTGCCCACCGTGTTCCGCACGTCCTAGGGCAGCAGGCAGCAGGTCAGCACTGCAAAGCCATCATGCCACCCCCCCCCTTTCAAGCCCCTCAGAGACAGGCGGGGCGGGGGGGGGGAGGGCGAGAACCAGGGGACAGGCCTCAAGGCAGGACCAGGCACCCCGACACGTGCCTGCCCTGGGGCGTGACGTGGCACAGGGGCCAGGCTGCCCCCCTTCAGCCCAGAGGCTCCGGAGCTGCACCTCACATTTTCCATTGAAGTGGTGCCGACCCTGAGCCCCCCCGGATTCCCTGGCCAAGGCTCTGGAGCCACAGACAAGGGTGAGCTCATCGCGTGGGCTCCCTCCCCTGGCAGGGCCTTAAGCAAAAATGGGCAGCCACAGGCAGGGAAGACCCCGCCAACCCCTCCAAGGGGAGGCAGAGGCCACTGCAGGCTGCCTACAGGCATGCGAAGACCCCCCAGCTACCCCCATCCTGTCCGCCACCCCCTATGGGCAGAGCAGCCGCATTCCTGGACACACATTCCTGGTCGAGGCCCCTGCCAGCCACCACCCTCCCTCCACCCAGCACCGAGACTGCTGCCCAGGCGCCGCTTCCTGCAACAGTAGCCACAGGGGGAGGGGCCCGCAGGAGAGTGAGCCCAGCTGGGAGCCCAGGCCCTTGCAGGACAGAACCCTCTGCACCTGCCCACCGGCCTTAGCACTCCCCAGCACGGGCACCGTGTGCTTGCTCAGTGCCAGGACCCCCTTCCTTCTCTGCACAGGGTGGGGCCTCCAGTGCACGGCCATTTCTGAACTGGACAGACCTGGGGGGGGGGGATCCAGGGGCAGGGGGTGTGGAGGGGCATTCGGAGGCTTCTCCAGAGAAGAGGCATGAGCCAGGAAAGGGGGGGTGGTTTCCAGGCAGAGGACACAACTTGTGCCAGACCCGGAGGGTACAGCTGATGCCAGGTGGGGGCAGGTGCAGAGGAAGCTGTGTGCCACCAGGGGACCCCACGTGTAAATGTTAGGGGGCGTTGCAGGAACTGGGGCTGAACTGTAGCTCCTCAATAATCCTCTGTGGCCCCCCCCACCCCCCGCACTCCTGGCACAAAAGGCCCAAGTGTACATGGGAGGGAGAGACAGACAGGGTGTGGCCAGGCGCCGGGGCCAGGGCAGCTGGGTTAACTTGGTCATGCCAGAGAAAAAAGCTGGGGTCGTGGGTCCCCTTTGACCCTCCTGCCCGGCTGAGGGGGAGCGAGGGGGCTGCACAGCACAGCTCCAGATCCACCCAGAAGGGGGCTCCCACTTTCCCGCATCCCCCGGAGGCAGCAAGATGCTCCCGGCCACGCCAGTGCCCCTTCAGCGCGGCGCCGGGAGGCAAAGGGACGCAGGGCCCCAGCTCCGCGGCCTCCAGGGGCGTGGAGGCGGGAGGAGGGCGGGCCGCGAGGGGAAGGGCCGCCCCCGCTATAAAGCCCGGGCCCGCGGCCCCACTCTAGCTGGGACGTACACGTGCCCTGCGGTGCTGCAGCCGCCACCGTG